GTACACACATAACTTCAACGTTGAATGAAATATGCTTACACACACATGTGCACACACTCACACACTCACAGATATTTGCTCAGTCGCGCTGTTTGAAAGAACGACATTCTGATGGGCCTGTCAATACAGCGGAGTGCAGACGGAGCGAGGTGACAATGTTGTTATTCTACAGGATGAATAGAAGCTCCTGCATTCAGAAGAAGCTAATTTACAATACCTCGCTGGGACATGGTGTTATTTATGCAGAACTCCCCATTCTACAATGATCAATCCCTGAAGATTTCTCTCCTCATTTAAGTGTTTAAAAAAAAAACGTATTTAAACTTCTAAACCATTTCATCAAATAACAAAGAGCGTTACCAAGGACTACAAATGTTTGAAAATCAAAGTCTTATGTATTTATCTATTGGATGATATATAAAAAAAATGGACGTACAGTACATGATCTTGATACCTGTTGATCCAATGTGAGATAGGGTTGAATTGACACTTGTAAGAATGGCTTATGAAGTCACAACTTACAACATTCTCAACTGATGGCTTTGTCAATACAACAGACAGAGAGAGGTGGTCATGTTTTGACAGGTTATTTGACAGGATTTGTGATAAATAGAAGCTCCTGCATTCAGTAGAAGCTAGTTTACAGTACCTCCGAGGCTGTACAAGCAAAATAAAGACGAACAATGGGGGTGCGTTGCCTCGGCCTCGTGTTCTGCAGGTGTTTTCGGGCTTTTCGCCGCAGTAACTCACTCCTCTCTAAAGAAGCTCCTTTTTCAGCCCCTGTCTCCCCTGGAGATAAAGTACAGACACCCCACTCTCCCTTTCTCTTTCTTCCAGCTAACTCCTGAATAATCCAGCAACAATACAGGGCTCTGAGGCAGTGTGCAGCGATTTGCCGGAGGCCTGACTTGTTTTGGGGTGCAGTGGGGGTGGGGGGGGCGGCATTATGGAGATCAGCTAATGCATGTAAAACGCTGCATCCATTTTATTTGATCGGAACAAGTGGTTAAGAAAAAGTCGCCACAATGGAGGTTTTGGAGCGCTACGCTTAACCCACCACACCTGGAGCACACAACAGGGGGTGAGAGTGGCTGCCCCCCCTCCCCCCTCCTGCCTCACCCATCATCACCAGCACCACAGCACCTATCAATACAAGCTGTAAGGAGTTTGGTTGGGCTTCAGGAGGAGGGGGCCGCCTGTATTCACGGCCTGACTATGATAAAGACGCACAGTGAGGAGCCATACAAGAGCCCTGTGCCCATAATGGAGTCACTAATAGGTGCCTATTCAGCAAGGAAAGTGTTCTGGAGGAGAAAAAAAAAAGTTTTAGGGAAGCAACAATCACTTTGTCTGCTGCCTTGTGTATGTAAAATGTATGCAGCGCTCCACCCCTCCACCCTTTTCCAACTCTTTCTGCTGTCTTTATTTCTTTCTTTAAAGAGCGTCAGCAGTGAATAGACGACATGCATAGTTTGGAGTCTTCCTTTCATCCTTACTTGAAAATGAATTCAATGGTCTGTTCTCGAGTGAGTCCAGTCCAGTGGCAGGAGTACACACACTCTTTTTCCCCTCCCTATCTCCATAAAACTGTTTGCCACATTCACAGGTGGCCGACTTTTATTTATAATATCTTTGTTACGCTGTCAGTATTACAAATGAACATTTAATCAGTGATGGGTTTTATAGTAAGCAGATGTGGAAAAAACACATTTAGAGTGAATGAGAAAGCCTTTATTGGTTGTTTAAATCTCACATAGAGGTAGACATTTGACAAAAATATATTATAAATAAATTATACTTATAGTTTCTTTGAACACTGAGGAAGTGCAGCCATCAGAATGCAAATTCTTTGTATATTTAAAGCATTCTCTGAGTCTGAAATTTAAAAAAAGGAAACAGTGTTTTAGCCATGTCAAAGAAAACATTTAAAGATGCTACTGAACTAAAACAGTCAAAGTTCAAACAACTGCATGTTACAAAAAGTTGTTAAGTATGGTCAACCCCTTAGTCTCCAAAGATCAATCCCTGATGATTTCTCCTCTTATTTAGCTGTCTGAAAAACTATTTCAAATTAAAAACAAGCTTGACCAAGGACTGTACTCAAAACGTACTTTGTTTAAACTCTTTGGTATTTATCTATAGTTGGATTGACACTTGTAAGTGTGGCTTATGAAATCAAAACGTACTATTTGAGCAGAATTTGAACATTTCATGATGAAACGTGTTTGTTCTGTTTGAACTCGAGTTAGCTTTAACATAGATTTGGTCAATTTGAATGAAGAGAGTTTGAAATTAATTTGTGTTTTAAAATGACACCTCCGGATGCTGTTCAACCCCGATTGGTGCCATCACTTTGCTTCTAGCATCTATATTTGCTGCAGACCCCCCAACCTCTCCCTTTGATTGGTCCCAAGGCACCATGGGAGCAGGCCTTGTGGGTGAGCTGACTAATCTTGAAATGCTGAAACCATATTGAAAAGAGGGAGAATGAACTGAGAAATACTGGGACCATATTGTGCTGCGTGTCAAAGGGCTTAGCTGACAGATTGATGGGATGAGGAAATAACGGAGCAAACCAGGGGGCAGCAGGAGGGAGTCGAGGGGGGGGGCCCAGCATGGCATAGTAAGCAGGGTTTGGAGTCAGAGCAGGGTCCCCGCAGGCCTGCCGGGCAGAGCTGAGGCAGGTCAGCGCTCTTTGATTCTGGGTCTCGCTGCTGACAAAGGGCAGCACGCAGTGGGCTGGGCTGCTTTCCTTAGAACAGCATGAAAGCCCTTGTAATTGTATTTTTATGTGTTTGATGAGAGGCTTTGTCAGCTGTTGGGTGCTGATGTATGTGTTTATTTGTATGTGCAAGGGAGCTTTTTTGACTATTATTTAGTCTAATCGAGAAAAAAAGATTGAATGTGAATCTCAAAAGATAGATATTCGCTCAACATGTGCCAGTGTTAACCAGCGTTGCTTCCACCGGCAGACAAGAGAATGGGACGTAAGTTAAGTCTCAGTATGTCTCAATGAGAGAAGAGATTACAGTTCTAGTATCTTCATTTCTTTGTTTGTTTTTTCTGGCCCATTTGTACCATTTTGAATCAGTCTCCATTATCTCACTGTCTTTGCTGTACCTGTCCAGCAGCACATTACAGGCATACAAAGTGAGCCACAAGCTGATTAATAAAATGTAAATATTGAGTATTTAGCAGTTCAAGAGACAGATATTTCCTTCGGACAGTGGTTTCAAAGGATACAATAAACATTCAACCTATTTCATTTTACATTCTGTTTTTGTATATCTTATTCTATGAACATGTACTGTATATAGACTCCTGCATGTACTTGGTCACTTACAACATTCTCTGCATTATTTAGCTTATTTTATTTATTTATTTTTTCTGACACGTATATCGGTTTAGAGTTATTTCACATCTAAATGTCACCCTTAAGAGCTTTTTAGTGTTTCTCTGACTCAGTTAAAGCTTAATAAAACACACTGGTGACAGTAAATCAGGTATCAAGTAAAGCAGATGCACTTCTCATAGTTGCATACATGGACTTTGCTTTAAAATCATATACATCCACATTGATGTGAATGTACCGGTGTTGTATCATTTAGCCAAATTATAAATGAGCCATTAAAATAACAATAAAACGTATCATAACTTGGATCAAAACAAATGCAAACAGTTTCAATACTGAAAGTATACAATAAATGAGAAGACCGGTTTGCATTCTTATGGTTATCCAATGCAATTAAATCTGTATTAAAACATCTTTAAAATATACACTAGCTTCAGCTTGCACTGAAACAGGAATTACGCTGTTCTTCATTAGAAAAAAACCTCCACATCTATGCCACAAAACTCTTCCATTTCCAACCAAACATCCCCTCACACAATGCATTTTTTGGCAGTGTCTTAGCAACTGGTATTGTGGCATCTAGATTACCCGAAAAGCACTGCAGAGCCCCTGTAGGGTCAAACAGAGGGAGACTTTGGAGAGTGTGCTTTAGGAAGGAAGATGTAAAGGAGAGCTTGATCTTAGAGGGTCTCAAGAAGCTTTAGTACATGTCATAAGTCACGCTAGGATTTTCTTGTTTCTTGTTTTTATTCCCTTGTCAGTTTCAGAGAAAGCATATTCTTCTTTTTCTTTTAAGCCTATTCTGAAAAGGTGACATGTCTTTAAAAACTACAAAGAAGTTAAAATATTCGTTTTGTAGCTGAAGTTTGACATGGTGTGTAGTAAAGGGGGTGGTTGCTTGTGTCTCCACTCCGACTGTTTGGTCTGGTCACCATGGAAAACACTGGCGACTCCCCGATTGTCCACAGCCCTTGTTAATATTACACCAAGAGCGTATTTACTCTGTTTTTCCTGCACTACAAATCTTAAGATGAAGAACCTCCAACTCAAGTCACTCTCACATAATAAGCTTTGATTGGAGTTAGAGAGCTGTTGAGAACGTGCACACACACAGAAGCACACACACACTCCACTGAGCTCTGATTTGTGGAATTGATAGGGTCCATTGTTTCCACAGAGCCCACCACTATATGCCCTGTAATGTAATTAAGGCCAGGAGATTTATGCCGCTGTATAGCAGCCCAGAACCTGATCCATGTTGTGTCTGGAGTTGGCCTGAAAAGCCCTCTCTCTGTCCATCTGTCCCTGATTTCTGCTCTGTTCTCTATCACTGTATGGGGGGGCAACAGTGCTGTTCACTTCTTAATCGAAAGCTTTGTTTATTGTAGGACTTCTTTTTCTGTTGCATATAGAAGGAACACAGGTTTTACATTTAATGTGCAATCTCACAGGGGCTCATTGTATGTGTGCTTTTTTTTCCTACCAGGGAACGACATGCATGATGAGTTGCACTAGTTCAGCAGGGTTGTAATTATTAACAGCTATAAGCTATCTAAATAGAGTGCATTCTTTGAGCCTCCCACAAAGAGGTGTTGCTCGGTTCTTTGAATCAGTCCACTACAAAGCGTGATGGGATATTACTGAACTTTTCTCTTGGAAAAAATGGCAGTGTTTTCCTATTACTTCAGGACTTCTATTGTGTTTTTAATGAGAAAAGTGAAAGACTAGAGCTCATTGGAAATGTCTGCTATCGGGAGAAGAGGAGCTCCGGAGCCTTATTGGGGAAACGCACCTTCCAGAAATCCGGATTTCAAGCGACCCCGGAGGCTCCTGGCTCGGCTCATGCATCCCGTCAGCACCTGGCTGCCTGACGGCCCCCTCTCTGCACACCACGCTCACAGGGTGAGTCCCTCCATGCCCACCCAGCTCTTCTAAATCCACAGCTGAGCGGCCTGCTGCCGCCACCGCCCACAACTCCAATATCCCAAATGAAAGACACGTCAAACGCTGCTGAATGCGCCCCATGTGGAGAACATGTGAGAGAAGATCCGTAAGACCCGGAGCATCTGTCCACCTCTCTGACACTAATGAATGTTAAGTAGGTTAGCTGCTGGTGTGCCACTGTCCCACAGGTCATTGTGGCTGGTGGTGGCAGCGGGGCTGTGCTTTTGTCAGGGTGCGCCAACCCCCTGTGAGACATCTAAAATGGCTGGACCGCTTACTCCTGCACACAATCCCAGCACCAATAGTTTCCATATTGATCCCCCTTGCTTGCAGATTAAAGAATAAAAGGGGCTCTGTCCTGCCAGCGGGGGTCTCCACTGTCTCCCAGAGCTCATTTCAGGGTCACAGAGTCCTTGCAGCCCCCTGACCCGAACCCCAACGTGAACACACACAAACACCGGTGCGAGGCAGGACAGAAACCTTTCCAGGGATGAAGCCCATTAAACAGGATTGGTCGGATGCTCACATTCACGGCTCATTATAGCTGACCCCGGGCTTTCTCTCTCTCAATCTGGGTGCTCTCCTCTTCTGTCCCTGCCTCTAACCTGGCCCAGGGCCTGCTGAGGTGGTCACACTCGCCTTTTGTATGCCATTGATAGCTTGGCCGTTTGCTTGATTGTCTTCTGAACTGGATCTGCTCATCGGTTGTATTGCGCTGCATTGCCGAGTTCCTGTGGTGTGCTTTTAAAGTTTTTGTTTAGCCTTTAGTAACTGTGTAGCTCTTTTGTCTCAAAGGTAGTTGGTTTATCGACAAATCCGGCAGCTGATTTATTTGTTGTGATCTCAAGCGCTGCAGCCATTATTTCAGTGGCAGACTTGAATTGAATGCATTTACCCTGAGAGTAGAGCATAGATATATGGGTTATCAGAGTTGGTTGTCTGTTAAAGTAGAAGGTATAATGCACTTGGCAGTAATGAGTTATGACACAAGATGTGGAAGAAAATAACATTAACACAGTGCTTATATTGGATCTCCACAGGAGGATGTAAACGAGTAACTAATTAAATCAGCAGGAATTAACTTGCTAGCTCATGCTTTATGGTGTTCTATATATTTATATCAAATGAGAGAAAGTGACATTTCATAATAAAAGTGGATCTTTGGCTGGGAAACAAACCAAATTCATCTTGTTTCCCTTCCACTGCTATCAAAATGTGGTTGTACAGTTAGCCACAAGTTGGTAGACACCATAAACAGCCCAAAGAGACTGAGCATATTAGACTTAAAATCAACATGTGGACAGAAAAAGATTCCAACAAACCCAAAGAAAAACAACCAATCAGAGTTGAGGAATCTCCATTGCAGCTTCAATTTTGAAATATTCTAACTAGGCAGCACTGAACTAAAAAGGAACACAAATGTGGTTACTTGATTGCAACCAATTTGAATAATTGCTAAGCTGCAAAGTAAAAAAAAAAGGCTTATCTCAGTTGCCGGTGCTTGGTTTAGGCTGAACTGTTTTCAAAATGGCGGCTGGTTCACAAATGTTCTCATTGCCATCCAAACATTTTTTTTGTCCGATTATTTTTCTCACGCACTCCTGTCAACATATAGTGACAGTTTCAGCAAATAGGACTGAAAGTAATTTTTATAAATGTTTCCAGCTTAATTTCAGGGTTCTAAAAGGGGAAATCCTTTAATAAATGACAGTGTTAGACACAGGTATATCCGTGAAATGCCGCCCCTGTTATGGCACCTTGTTTGTTTCTTACTACGCCTATATTACATGTGTTAGTGAGTCTTTGGGGCTGACCTCAACAGGATGCAGCTCTGATCTGCGGCCCTTTGTTCAATGCCTGCTCCTGTAATTAAACGTTGATTAAATGCCTATTAATGTGCCCTGACTCCCAGACAGGGTGTAATCAGGTGAAACAGAATTAATAAAACATCCAGTGTAGTGCTCAGCAGAGAAGGAAGGGCTCCCATGAGAAAGACAGACAGATGGCGATAGGAATTGCCGGAGAGAGGAGAAAGCAGAGTGGGACAGGGGATAAAGCAAAGACCAGTCACCACTTTGGTGATTAGGTCTAAATTGGTAATTTGATCTAGCCTGCTCCACCTACTCATTATTGATAAGACCCACCATATTTGTCCATATTTCCCCCTGCTGGCTCAGACCGGCTCCACATCACTTCCTGTCAGTCCCACGCTTCTCTGTGCTCAATGGATCTGACAGGAAGTAGCTTGAGGTGGAGTTTTAATGGGAAAAAAGAGAAAAGCACGTCATAGACACATGCACAGCGGACATCCCATCTGCTAGGAATCTCCCTAATCTCATTATCTTAATTGAACAAGGAAAAGAGGAGCAGCAATCACTTTAGACAAACCCTATATGGGATTATGTGGTGTATTGGCGCTGATGGGTCAAACGATGACATCAAAGGCAGAGGAGACCATTGAGTAATGCATTTTCATTAGAGCTGATGAAACGCTAGCTCTGCCATGGATGTTATTTTGATACTTTTTGCATGTAGTCTTATTCTTTATTGTCATCAAATTACTTAAATAATCATACTATACTGTAGATGTAAAGATTAAGTTCCATTTAGTAGTTTTGATGGAATTAACATACAGTATAGAGTAGAAATCACATTTAAGTAGTAATAAGGTCATTGTTATTTATGAAGCATATTTCAGTTACAGGTTGCTGTACAATTTGTAAAAATACAAGAGCTGGAGCTTTGGTCGGGCCCTAAACAGTGAAAATGTCATGCTTTAAACATACATAAATCCTTTAAAAATAAGTGTTAAGGGTTTTGCAACCTATAGTTTTTTCTTTCACATCTTTTTTAATTTACCAAAGTACTTTGATTCTGCTTTCATTGATTTGCCCTATTTATGTTTCTTTTCACATCATTTTCTACATTGTGGTCCCAGGCCAACCCCACCCCCAGCCACTTCATCCTTTACTGTCTCAAAATGTACTTGATTTAACATTCAGCATATAATTAGTACCAACAAGGTCATTGGGCACCAAGCACCCGTGATTTGCTGGGAAATTGGCTGCTTTTCATTATTCTGCATCAATTAAGGGTGGAGAGCCTGCGAAGTATTTCTGGCATAATGTGCGTAATCTCATGTGATGGGCTTTGTTAAATACAACAGGTACGGACTAAATGAAGCTGAGAGACAAAGGTGAAGAGATGGCCAGACCCGACGCTGCCCTCTAGCCTCTCACCGGGTCACTGAAAGGCTTTGAGAGTCTGGCACAAGCTGGCAGAGAGCTCCACACCAGTGCACTCCAAAGGAAAGGGAAACCCACACATGTATACACACATCAAGCTCCATTGTCCTCCCACCCTGGCAGCCCCTCTCGCCTCTGTCACACACTCCGGTCTGGGGTTACAGCCCATGAAAGAAGGGTGAGTCCTGGGAGGATCTGCTCTCCTGCTCCCTGCAGTGGCTCGACTCTGGCGCTGACTCTGGGCTTCTGGGAGCTGCAGAGAGAGATGGATGAGCCGCTCTGCTGACTGCTGGGCATCGGCTTGTGATGTGTCTCCAGTGATTGATGAGTTAACACACTGCCCCTTGCTCCACGGGTCAATCTGACGCACCCTCCCCATTAAACCACCATACTGTCCCAAGGCAGCTACATGCTCAAAAGAAGGAAAATAAATGAAGAGCAGGCGTTTTGTTAACCGAGCAGATGTTTGAGAGCGGACTCCACCATCCAGACGTCTGCTGCTCAGACCACTGGAAGAGTTTCACAGCAGCTCAATAAGCAAGACAGAGGGGTTATTAATGCACTGGTGGGGGTTTAAATGTCTCTGAAGAGACTCTCAATGTGTGGCTTTGCATTTGTTTTGCCAGGCTTCAGGCATTGTTCTCAGCCCGGGGCCCACGGAGCAGGACATTGAGCTACTCAAGGCAGTTCATTTTCTGAACTCCTTTGATAGATCAATCTCAATCTGGCTCTGACAAATCTGATTTGTATTTCTAAAATAAACATGTACCTGCCCCCTCTTTCTAAATGTTAATAATTTGGCTTAATCTTTCTCCTTTTCTTGCAGAGCCCCAAATACGTGTCTTTTGTCAACAAGGCCATCTTGTGGGAAAGAGGACTCTGTCACTACACTGTGAGTGCCAACAAACGATTTTAAGTTAATAACAAGAAGACCTTTTTATGTTCCTTTTATGAAATGGTCTGACCTTTTTCTAAGGCTAAATGATATGCCTATTCATATCCACCAATTTATTATAAAACATGTTTTTAATGAATATCACCATTTCTGTGTCTGCATTCGTGAGACTTGTTCATTTTCATAAACAACCTTTCCCAACCAATTTGAAGTCCTGCTGCTGGAAATCAGCTAAAGAAAACAAAGCAAAGTTAGCAATGGTGGTGGGATTAAAAAAAACATAGGTTCCAATGTAGGGGATGTTACACTGCACAATATAACAGAGGATGATTACCTGGACAGTGAACTGTATAAAGGTCCTGAGGCAGCTGTTGGAGGGGGAGATCTTTTCAGGCAACAACTTAAATGTACACTAAACAAAGAACCCAAATAGGTTTGCTATAGTGTACATCACACTGATATAGTAAACAGAATAATGACACTACTTCATTTATGTTTTCTTAAAATGTCCTGTGTTGATATGTACAATTTGTGACGGCGGTTGTAGGGTTTACAGGATTAATTTGACTGTTGATAAATTAGTCTCATATTTATTACACTTTAAGATTGAACAAATCTTTAAATAATAGTAAAAATTGGCCCCGAAGTCAAGGTGACATTTGGAAAGTGCTTTGTTTTTTGACCAACACTCAGTCAAAAGGTTTCAATTTTTTAAAACAGAAAAAACTGCAAATCCTCACATTTAATAAGCTGAATCCAGCAACATCTCAGGAAAGATACCAAAATAAATGTAAATCTGAATATTCTTTCACTGCCTTCACTCTAACAAGTGAAAAGACACACACACACACACACACACACACACACACACACACACACACACACACACACACACACACACACACACACACACACACACACACACACACACACACACACACACACACACACACACACACACACACACACACACACTCTTCTTCTTTCTCTCCTCCAACACTCAAAAGTCCCCACCTCTCTCCTTTACTGAAAAGACTCTGGGAGTGGATGTGCCACAATTAACAGTGGGGTTGCCATGGGGACAGCAGAGTTGTGTGGGCTGGCTTCCTGTCTTGGCCTCTGGTTAAACAAACAAGTAAAGTCGCTAGACAAAGACGCTGGCTGGTCCTTACAGCCTCATTTACATCCTCAACTGCCTTCAGCACTTCTGCATTCAGCAAGTTCATCGGGCCTGGCATCACCCTCTGCTATCTCTGGATCTCCTGCTATATCTCATAAATCAGGGGGGCATTGTGATGGGGAAACTGCTCCCGTCATACAGCAACACAGCTTTTACAGCAAGAGGTTCCCTGTCTAAACAGACAGACAGCAGACAAGAGAATGTTGACCCAGCAACCTGCGTTATATAGGCGTCAAAGCTCCTGTACGGTCACCCGGGACACAAGCTGCAATGGGACGGTGCAGGACAGAATGGACAGGTGCCCAAACAAGATACAGAGCTGCAACATAAGACTTCATATATGCTCTTTTGACACCAGGAGTTCAACTAAGGTTTTATGGTTACATTAATGTTTTCTTGGATATTGACTCTACATACTTGTCTGTAGTCTGAAAATCCTTAGCGATAAACAGCGTAGTATTTATCAGACTTTTCAACACAGGTTTATCATGCGGTTTAAAAATGATGAAACTTGGGAGAGATTTTGTTTTTTCACAGCCACTGTGAAGGTTATTTTTTCTCTTTGTATGTTTGATTTTAAGTAGGAAAAAAGACTAGCCTGATTTTCATTAAACATGGAAATAGGGTTTAGCATGAGTCAAGCAACACCCCATTAGAAAATCGATCCCTTAAAGCGGATCCTAAACACAGGGCGTTTTTTTTAGTTTTCAGTTTTGGTTGTGAAATATGGAATTAGGCCTTACTGGAGGTCTGCCCTCCCTGATTGGCTTTACAGTTGTTTACATGCATTCTTCTTTTTTTATTTCAAAGTCCTGGTCCCTACATTACCCACAAAGCCACCAAAACAATGCCCAACAATTCGGTTAAAAAGATTTGGTGTGTTATTCTAATATCAACTAATGTAGTCTTGAGCTGCTAGTCTCAATAAGAGGTTGAAGTTAACTTCTCTCTTACTCTATGCCCCCAGATAAAAAGAAAAAGTAATAATATAGATTAGTCGCTTCCTATAAATCCACAATAGGCTTATGTAATGTTACATGAGCAGCAGTACTCCCCAACATCTGAAAACAGACTTTGATGTTTAAAATTGGCTCCCTTTAAGAAAAGTATCTTGATATTTCTTCCACCCATGTAGGAAATGCTGTATTAGAGTCATGTCATCCTGTGTTGTGTTGTTTCAGGATGTGGGGGCTTCAGGGGAAAAGTCGCCTGGCCCTCTGGGGCTGCGTGGGCCTGTGAAGGGGGGTCATTGTCTCACCATCGAAAGTAGAAAGTTGCTCTGAATGCTAAGCTGTATCTGAGCCTGGCTTCTGACACGAGCTGATAATCAGATTTACTCCCCTGAATCCGTCGGACTCCACAATGCACCTCACTGTCGTCGGCCCCTGCTCGCCTCTCGCCGGCCCCCTCGCCAGCATCCCGACCCCTCAACCACCCTCCCTCCTCCCCCGCGGCAAAGCTAATTACACCCCGCAGAAACACAAATCTCCATGATTTAAAAAGTCACTCTTTTTCAGGGGTTTAACCTTGTTAGGGCCTAAGCCTGGCTTTCTTGTGCATCAGCTCTGTGAAGAATTCTCTGTTCCTGCAGACACTGGGACATAGACACACTTCTGTCTGTGCCTGTCAGAGGGTTCACTCCGAGCCAGTGTAATTAACTCTGTGTGTGTGTGCATGTGTGTTATGTATATGTGTGTGTGTTCAGAGGTGAGGGGGGGTGAAGGAGCACACGCAAGTCTGTCCTCTGTTGGCCATCTGGGACTCTGACTAACTAATAGACTTCCTACATTCATGGAGGCTTCTTGTACATCTCAATCAGGGAGCTGTTGACCACAAACAGGCCCGTAATGACATTAGGCAGTTCTGGCTGTGTGAGGACAGCGTGTGGGTTGCCTGACGCCAGGAGGTCAGCCTGCTTCCTGGGGGTCTGCAGGGGCCCCGAGGAGCCCACACGAGTTTGATGGGTGTGTGCAGAAACTACACCATTACCTCAGTCTGTGATGGAAAGGCCTTACTCCATGCCTTGCAGGGTTGGAGGAGTACTAATCAGTAACCTTATCTAAGTGTCACATCATTAACTAGAGAATGCAATTCCTGAAGAAATTGCTAGTGGGAATGCTTTATGCTGAAAAGCTGACGCTAAACTGCTATGCTGAAATGTAATGTGTAAGAAGACAGTGAAGAATTTAGATTGAAATAATACATGAACACTGAGAGTTGAGAGTAATCAATAATAAACTGGTGAAAGCAAGCAGCGTTGTCTTTCGTTGGTTCTTTATTTGAAGCGCTTCAAAGGTACATGTCTCACAGAGTACAGAGTAGTCTGCAGGAGTGCACACAGGGTATAATGTGTGTGTGTGTTTTATAGAGGACTGTTGCTGTGCAGGAAGTAAAAGAGATAAGACTTTCCTTAGAAAACTGTTATCTTACAATGCTCTCATAGGGAGAGCCACATCCTCCAGGGACGACCTTGG